GACACAGAGGTTGGAGACCCTGGGACTCGAGGTGTCGGCTCTGGGCCTGGAGCTTCTGGAGCTGCTGGAGGTACTGGAGCTGCTGGAGGTACTGGAGCTGCTGGAGGCACTGGAGCTGCTGGAGCTGCTGGTTCTGGTGCAGCTGCGCCGACACGACTGTTCTTCGCTCCGCCGTCTCCGTCGTCTCTGCCGCCGTCTGCCTCTGTTCTTCGTCAGGTTCTTACTCTTCCGTCGTCTACTGGTCTTCCGTTACAGACTGGCTCGCCGCTGCCTGCTCCTTCTCCTTACGCTGAGCTGACTGGTAGTCCTGCTGTGCGTCGTGAGCCTGCGTCGCGTCCTGTCTCGCCTGCTCGTCCTGGTCGTACCGGTCCTCGTGTTCCTCGTTCGCGTCCGCCGGCTGTCCCCAGCGCACACCTCGTAGTCCGTCGTCCTTCCTCTGTTCCGCAGCCTGTTCCTCTGCCGTCTCCTCCTGCGTCCTCTTTGCCTCACGTTCCGGACCCTGCGTCTGACCGGTTTCGTGCTGAGCACCCTACTGTCACGCGTCTACTAGCCACAGTTGTCACTGACCCGTCGTTTGAGTCTGCTGCTGCGTCTGCTCTTGTCGCTGAGCTTGTTGGCTTTGCTGCTGCCTGTCGTCTAGACTTCACTGCCAGTCTTGTTGTTGAGTCTGAGTCTGTCTGTCCTCCGTCCGTCGGGGGTGAGTGTGCTCTTAGCACGGACGTCCTTGAGGACAGGCAGGAGGAGTTCCAGTGTCTTGCTGCTGCTTTACCTCATCTTGTGTCCTCGCTACTTGCCCCTGAGGGAGACCCGGATGCACCAGACATCCCGACTCCGCGCTCTTACGCAGAGGCGATAGAGGGTCCCTACTCCTCTCAGTGGCAGGCAGCCATGGACGCAGAGATGGCTTCCTGGAAGTCCACAGGCACCTACGTTGACGAGGTTCCCCCACCTGGGGCGAACATCGTCAGTGGCATGTGGATTTTCAGGGTGAAGCGGCCGCCGGGTTCTCCGCCTGTCTTCAAGGCGCGTTACGTGGCTCGAGGCTTCAGTCAGCGAGAGGGAGTTGACTTCTTCCAGACCTTCTCCCCCACCCCGAAGATGACCACTCTTCGGGTGCTGCTGCACGTTGCTGCTCACCGTGACTACGAGCTTCACTCTCTTGACTTCAGCACAGCTTTCCTGCAGGGCAGCCTGCACGAGGAGATCTGGCTGCGCCGCCCCCCGGGCTTCACTGGGTCGTTCCCTCCTGGTACCCAGTGGAGCCTCCGGCGGCCGGTCTACGGTCTCCGCCAGGCGCCACGTGAGTGGCACGACACACTGAGGACTGCACTTGCGGCTCTTGGGTTTGCGCCTTCTACTGCTGACCCGTCGCTGTTTCTGCGCACCGACACTTCCCTGCCGCCGTTCTACATCCTCGTGTATGTCGACGACTTGGTTTTTGCCACTGCTGACACTGAGGCTCTCACCCACGTGAAGTCGGAGCTGCAGAAGAGACACACGTGCACAGACTTGGGTGAGCTGCGCAGCTACCTTGGCTTGCAGATCACCCGAGACAGAGCACGTCGCACCATCACCTTGACTCAGTCACACATGGTGCAGCAGGTCCTTCAGCGCTTCGGCTTCACCTGGTCTTCAGCACAGGCCACTCCTCTGGCTACAGGTCACACGCTCTCAGCTCCACCTTCGGACGAGTCCGTAGAGCCGAGTGGTCCTTACCCAGAGCTAGTCGGCTGCCTCATGTACCTGATGACTTGCACTCGACCTGACCTCGCGTACCCTCTTGGTCTCCTGGCTCGCTACGTGGCTCCTGGTCGGCACCGACCTGAGCACATGGCTGCTGCTAAGAGGGTACTGCGTTACTTGTGCAGCACATCAGGCATGGGGCTAGTGCTTGGAGGGACGAGCCCAGTTGTCCTCACTGGGCACTCAGACGCTTCTTGGGTTGACGACCTGGCTACTCAGCGGTCGTCACAGGGTTACACCTTCAGCCTTGGCTCTGGTTCAGTTTCGTGGCGTTCTACACGCTCGACTTCAGTTCTCGGCTCCAGTTGTGAGGCTGAGATCTACGCCACCGCCATGGCTGCACAGGAGTTACGCTGGCTCACCTACCTGCTGACTGACTTGGGAGAGCAGCCTCGTTCTCCTCCAGTGCTGTACGTTGACAACAAGGCCGCCATTGCCTTGTGTGAGGAGCACAGACTGGAGCACAGAACGAAGCACATTGCTCTGCGGTACTTCCTGGCTCGAGAGTTGCAGCAGCGAGGCCAGCTTCGTCTTCGCCACGTGGCCACTCGGGCCAACACTGCTGACATATTCACCAAGGCACTTCCGTCTGGTGATCATCAGCGCTTTTGTACTCTGTTAGGCCTTGTGCCTACGTTTCCACACTTGCTGTAGTCTCTGCTTGTACTGTGATCTATATATATATATATGCATGCTGGCTCTTGCTAGGTAGCCATCACTGTACTGTTATTGCTGCATATATATCTCTGCATGTGAACTGGCCCAGTGGCCCTTTGCTTGTGCTCAGAATGCGTGGTGACGTTGTGATCCACCCTGAGCTTGTTTTGCTTCTCTTGACTGGTCGTGTGACCCCTTGTTCTCCCCCACTTTGCCTATGGGGGTGTGTCAAACTATATGTGCTGCATATTGTCTAGGCTGTAGTGGGGTAGCCCATATGGGGTACAACCTAGTTAGGGTTTACTACTTGTACTCCTGCATCCTGTTAGTTCATCCATTCCTGCTAGATTCTAACAGCTCTAAGGTCTGTAATATAGTGGCAAACATGATCGTGAATGGTATACCAGGATCGGATTTTTTAGAATCCACATTTTTAACCGGCCCGGATTTCGCGGCTTTTTGGGCTCAGGACCGCTCGTATAGGGGGGTGGTTCTTGCAGTGGCGAGCTTGTTTGAGGGCAGTAAAATCTAGAACCTTGCTCTAAGGTCTGTAATATAGTGGCAAACATGATCGTGATGGTATACCAGAATCGGATTTTTTAAAAATTCGCACAGGTATAGAAAATTGCAAATCAGCCGGGAAATTTTGCAATCAATCCTACTCATTGTATCGCCCCAGACCTATGCAACTTGATCTCGGTGGCAAATAAGCATACGCTCGCCTACCCCACCCTTTTGAATTGGCCCATCCGGGGCGTTTTTAGCCTTATTTTCACCAAATCCGCACCGGTATAGAAGATTTCGAATCAGCCGGGGAATTTTGCAATCACTCCTACTCATTTTATCTCCCCAAACCTTTGCAACTTGATCTCGGTGGCAAATGAGCACACGCTCGCCTACCCCACCCCTTTAAATTGGCCATCCGGGGCGTTGTTAGCCTTATTTTCACGAAATCCTCACCAGTATAGAAAATAGCGAACCAGCCGAGGAATTTTGTTATAGTCACAATAGGCTCCAATGTGCCTAAAACGAAAGATAGAGTGCACAGTCGGATTTCTGCACAGCGGCTTCAAACGTTCATAGCGATCTGGTCACAGCTCCAAACGACCTCATTCAACTTGGATCTGGAGCGTCTTAATGTCGCCTACAATAGGCAATTTAGATCGCACGATTTCATCAAGAATTGACGACACAACGTCAGATTGAACGGACGGCATTATATCAGCAACATAGTCTTAGAACACACAATTACGAACAACTAGGAAGAGTTACGAGTTGGGAAGGACTCCCAGCTCCTACAAACCCCAAGAGCCGAGGTACAGTGATGAGGAACAGTACCACACTGTCCCTAACCAAGAAGGGTCTCGAAACTACCCTCCACAAGGGCCTACACCCATAGAAATGTTACACTACACTTTGTAATGTAACTATCTTCAATATCTTGAGGTGTACCCTTTTGGCCAGCTTCGAAATCACTTGAAGCTTGCAACCACTTGCAGCGGAAGATTCACAAGCGCGTGGCGACAGCAAAATAGTGGGAGGGGGGGAAACTCGGCAGCTTTGAAGTGAAAGTACCGCGATATCCTCTCGTACTTGCACCTACTCGTTAACCGATATAATATGGACTCTGTAAGAAAAAGGGGTGTTATAAAAAATCACCCAAAAGCGGGTGGTTATAGTACAAACGAGGTCAACTACAACACCCACCCTGCACAAGCTATTTGGGGGGTGTACAATTTGGGGGGGTGTTTTGTCCAGGAGAATACGGTGATGGTAATGATAGTGGTGAAGTGCCAGTCTTCGGTGCTACCACAGTGCCAAACTCTGAGCTACCATAGATGCATGTGTTGAATACCAGTGCTACGACAGGTGTGTGTGCTGAATACCAGTGCTACCACAGTTGCATGTGCTGAATACCAGTGTTACCACTGTTGCTTGTGCAGAATATCAGTGCTATCACTGTTGCGTATGCTGAATACCAGTGCTATCTCAATTGCGTGTGCTGAACTCCGGTGCTACCACATGTGTGCCGAACACTGGCGCTACCATAGGTGCGTGTGTTGAAGACCGGTGTTACCACAGGTCCCTGAGAGTCCCTTGGGTCCCTGAAGGTCCCTGTGGGTCTTTGAGGGTCCTTGGGGCCTCTCGGGGTCCCTGGGGTTCCCTGGGAGTCACTGGGGGTCCCTCAAAATCTCTGGGGGTCCCCCTGGGGGGTCCCCCTAGGAGTCTCTGGGCTGCGTTTGGAATTCTGTGGGTTCCTGTAGGTCCCTAGGGGTCCCTGAGATTCGTGCGGTTCCCTTCAGGTGATTTCAAAGAACCCAGGTTTGCATATGGAACCCCAGTGCGTTCAATGACGGATGGTTGTGCGGTACATGTACAGGGGATTATGGTAAATTGTGCGGGCAGCCAGTTACCCAATGCACTTGAGGGTTTCCACATGAAATCTGCAACTTGTTTATTGCCTCATGCATCATCTTTTAAACCACTGCTCAATACTCTAATTTCTAACCCTCATGTATTCCCTAAACGCATTTCCCCCAAAGGCCTCTCCAATGCTCAGTAAAACCACACTACTGCTGGTCAGAGTTAATGACAGGGCATCAGGTAGCAGTCATGATCTGAAAGCGTGACAGTGTTTGCATGAGATGGGTGACTTGGAGATAACTCTCTATGGTGCGACGCAGAGATATGATGGAGCCAACCTGGTGTCACACACACACACTGCAGTTAGACACCCATCCAACATGCCGCTTGGCCTGGGCCCAAATGATTAGGCAAGAAACAGACTGGATGGTGGATAATAGACATGCAGGATAGCAGGGATTACAGGATGGAGACATTTAAGCCAGGATCTCAAGTAAAAGAATTTGGCATCAACTGCAAAACAGTTGACGCTAGGGTCACCCTGTTTGAGTGGGCGAAGTTGAGTGACGGGTTTGGGTTTGACTGTGCGACACATTTCCCATTTTGCCCCTGATTCAATTGCAAAACAAATTGCTGGGGACTTGAGACTTTCGGGAACCCGAAACATTCTCTGGTACTTTAGGTTCGGCTCCAAACCAGTTTCCGTGCCTAGAAGGCTTGGAAACAACCTGCGACTTGTTTTTTTCCTCGCACCCCTCGCTTCACTCCTCGTCAACTTCTGTACCTCGCCATCCAATCCCAGCCTAGCACTATTCACCAACTGCAAAACAGAAAAAGTACTTGAGATCCTGGCTTTAAATAACAATCACTACGAACTCACAATGATCAGAAGTGATGTGAAAGCTATGGAGATCCCTGAGATTCGGTAGACAAACAGACTAAGTGCTGATGATGCAGACGCCATGGATGCTAGCAGCACACCACCTGGTGAGGAGAGAGCACAAGGAATGGTGAGGGGAGAGCACAAGGAATGGTGAGGGGAGAGCACAAGGAATGGTGAGGGGAGGGCACAAGGAATGGTGAGGGGAGGGCACAAGGAATGGTGAGAGGAGGGCACAAGGACTGCATGAGGGCAGAGCACCAGACAACGTAGTAGCAGGTGGTGATGTGAGGGTACTCCCTTGTAATGGACCGCTGCCAGCACATTCACAGCTGCCACGCCACCGTCATCCGAACTCCTACTGCTGCCACACTGGCCGCTCCCAGTGTAATGTAACCATCTCCCCTGCCCCATCGCCGTGGTGGCCCATGGAGACAGGAATGGGACCACGTTGGTGCATGGTGGGGAGTGGCGGGCAAGACAGGTGGGCAGAGTGGGGGAGGAAGGAGAGAGGGCTGTGCAGAGTGTGGGACTTTGGGGGGGGCAAGAGTTGAGTAAGGGCGCACCAAGGAAGCGAGTGGAGTCCCGTGCGTCTCTGAGGAACTCGGCTGTCTCCGCCCCTGGCCTCACATGCCGCACCCTCGCCCCTATCGCCACCAGACTGTCCGCTATGTCCTTTATCGTGTCGTCCTGGTGCCATGCATGCACGCACGTGCACGCACACACACACACACACACACACACACACACACACACACACACACACACACACACACATACACACACACACATACACAGACACACACAAATACACAGACACACACACATACACACACATGGCACACACACACAGACACGCACAAACATAGGCGCGCACACACACAGATGCACATACGCATGGACAAGCGCGCACACATGCACACGCACCAAAACATCCGCATACGCACACCATCCCCTCTCCCACACACACACATGACATGCACACACCCCCATGGGGTATGCACAAAAATCCGGGTAAGAAGCAGGAAGTGGATGTGGGCAAGTGTGGTGTGGTGCGTGCAGCAGAGTGCAGGTGCGGAGGAAAAGAATGCCTACTGCACCAAACCGTGTGCGGAGTGCAATATGTAGCAGTGTGGCAGTAGGGGCGAGCAGCACACCAGGTCGTATATGTTGAAGAGAATGGTGACGAGGAAGACGGCTGTGTGGCCCAGCGCGCGCAGGTGCAGGGGAGCAGCAGCCACGTTGTACCCACCCACCTCCCTGCACGCACACGCATGGCTCAATGCTCACATGACCACATGGAATGCCACATGCACTGCCTTGCCGGCACCCATGCGGCACTGCAAGGGACCTTTCAGGTGCAGCCCACGGGAAACAAAGAACACGTGAACCGGGTGCAGTGCACAATGACACTCTCAGGCACGCCCTGCCGTACTTGTGCTGTGCACGTGCCAAGTAGGGCTTGGATAAGCTGAGCATCATGCGCAGCACAGCGCAAGCAGCACAGGTGAAGCAGCACGCACCGGAGAATCATGGTGACGGAGGAGGCGAGCAGGGAGGCGTTGAAGACAGGGTACATGCCCTGGGGGATGAGCGGGAACGGCACCACTGGCTGCACCTGCGCCCTCTCCTCCCTGCACTCATGGCACGCACATTTGCATGGATGCATGGCGGCACACAACATAGAAACGGGCAGCACTGAGAGGCGAACACATGCACCAGACGCACTGCAGGGGAAGGTGTGGTCATGAAAAGAGAGACAGATGGATGGACATACAGAGAGGAGAGGACGGGGAAGGAAGAAGCGGCATAAGGTGAAGCGGGAACCTAGGCCCAATGGTCACCGTGGCTACAGATACTGCAGTGCTGACGAATGAAGAGAGAAGAGGAGGGTAGGTGGTGGATAACGAGGCATGGAGACGAGGGTGGCGCGGAGAGGCGGTGTACAGGGAGGGCGTGGTGATGTTGAAGTCAAAGTAGAGCAGCGGCACACGGCGCACCCCCCCCACCAGCCACGCAGCCGCGAAGGTGGTGAGCACAAAGAGCATGAGCAGCAGCGCCAGCAGTGCCGCCACGTGGGGGTCTGACAGCAGACGCTCTGCACTTGCTCAGCACATGGGGGCCAGCAGGGAGAGGGGGAAGAGGGCGGGCGCCCCGGGGGGCAAGGAGGCAGAGTGGAAGTGAGTGAAGTGCATTGGTGCAGAGAACACAGAAGCCATTAGAGCGCACGGCAACAGGGTGGCTGGGAGAGTGAAGCCTTGCAGACGAGCGGTGGAGGTGAGTGGCGTGGAGTGTGCGCAGGGCAGTGGCGCAGTGACCTTTGCAGACGGCGAGGGCGGGCTGCAGCGATGCTGTGAAGCCCGACAGGATGCTCAGACAGATGAGCAGCGAGTACCCCTCGCCTGCCATGTGGGGGTGGGGTGGAAGGGAGGGGGGAATGGGAAGCGATGGTGATGGCTAGGAAAAGACAGGCCGCAGTGAACTCGAACAGTTGTGCTTACGACACTGAGAGAGCTATGCAGCACAGTACATCATGGCATGGCATGGCACAGACGGGCAGGGAGGCGTGGGAAGGGCGTTACCGAGGCCGAACTTGGTGATGGCGGAGCAGAGGCCCTGCAGCAGGGTGGAGCCCACCGCCAGGGCCAGGGACGCACGCAGGAACGACGGCAGCCACACCCTGGCACGGGGGTTAGGGGGGCACACGCGTGCAGAGGGAGAGGGGTGATGCAAGTGAAGCGCGTGAAGGACTGAGGCATCCAAGATGCAGCGTGAGGGTGGGTCGGGGAGGGGATGAGCCTTGCAGGTGCACATGAGTGAGTGGTGGTGTGGGAGCACATGCGGGGCGCAGTGCAGCGCACCTGAGGGCGCCAGAACAGTCCATAGACGTCCATGCTGTGAGCCCGCCAAACACCACTGCCAGCCCTGCTGACACGTAGAAGCTGCACGGGGGGAGGGGAGGGAGGGGGGGAGAGACATGACGAGACGGGTGAGAGGAGAGATGCAAGGGCGAATGCCAGATGTCATGATTAGAACGGAATTGACAGGAGAGTGAGAGTGGGTGAGTGTAAGAAGCGAGTTGGTTGAAAAGGTGCATGCGTGCGCGCACTGACGTGTATCGCTGGATGAGTGCAGCACCCCTTGACCCCTCGTTGCGCAGGTTGTTGAGATGCGGCGAGATGCGCAGCGCCAACACCACCTGGTCGTACACGTGCACGCGCGTGCACACACACACACACAGAGCGAAGTGCGCACAGCGGGTAAGTGTCACGATGACATGCAGAGGGGTTCGTGAGAGAACAAGAAAGCCAAAATTGGGTGACGGGGAGGCACAGGGTGAGAGAGAGGTGGGCTAGGGAAGGGGCATCGGTACCTGAAGAATGATGGAGGCGAATATGTGCGGTGTGATGCCCAGAGCGAACAGGTTGATGGGACCTCCCGGTGATGCCACCTCCACATCCAACCCTGCCTCACCGCACCACACCACATGGCACGTCATCATCACATGTCCTCAAAACGGTTCCATGAGCAGAACATAGCACGGCAGAGCACAGCAAACAGCAGCAGCCCCAAGTGCGGTCCCCTCTCTCCCCTCACCGGCGGCCATGAGCAGTGGGTGGTCGTGGGTGGCAGAGCTGGCCTCCTTGAGGCCCGCCACCGGCACGGCATACCCCACGCGGGACAGCGCCAGCAGTGCCGTGGTCACGAGGGCGCGGCGGGCGAGCTCATCTCGGAAGAGCCGGTCCACAGCGCGCTCCACGTGCGTCTGCCACATCGCCACCGCCAGGAACAAGTTCCTGTATGCCCGCCCGCTGCCGCCCCGCCCCCCCCGCCCCCGCATGCGTCCCGCCTCCTGTTCCGCCCATAGCGGTCCCTCTGCACCGCGTGGCGCTGCTTGTGCTTGTGGCTGGCTTTGCGCTTGCGTGCGTGGTGACGCCGTGGGGGCGTGCTGCGTGGCAGAGGGAACGGCCGCCGTCGCTGCGCCATTGGACGACGACGCAGAGGCGCTGCTGCGCGCACGCTCGTGCTCGTGATCTTCATCTTGTTGATCCGCTGTTCTACTGATGCTTTCGCCGTCCCTTGCTTGCACCCTCGCCTCCCCCACGCCTGCGCGCACCTCTCCTCGCCCCAGCGCCTGCACGCTCACCTGCAGCAATGCCTCCGCCACCTCTCGCGGAATCCCGCCACCCTCCCACCCTACCCCGCCCACCCCCCCACCCTCGTCGTCACGCGTCTCCGCCTCTGTCTGCCCTTCCCCCACCGCCTCGTCTCCAACCGTCCCTCCTCCATCCGCCGCCCGCGCCTGCGGATCGTCCGCGCCCCAACCGTTCGCCCTCTCGTGCTCCGCCGAACCTACTCGCCCCTCTTCCCCGCGCCCCGCGCTAGCAGCACGCACTTCAACCGGTCTGTACCGTTGCCTACCGCCGCCCCTACAGCGCCCCGCCCGGCTTCCTTCCGCCATGCCGCTCCTCCACCGCCCACATTTTTCGCGCGATGTCCCTTGCGCCCAGCGTCTGTGCGCCGCCAATACGCCTCCCCGCGCGTGGCTCAGCGCGGACCAGCGGAGTGCGGAAGGCGCGTGCATGGCAGCGCGGACGTTGATCCGGATCGGGGGATGGTAACCGGCGCGCGGGCACGAGGGGGAGGAGAGGAAAGCGGGGCGGAGAAGGGGAGGCGGGGGACGGATTCCCCGCGCCAGCACGTCCATGGGTGGCGCGCGCTCGTCTAGCGCAACGCGAGGTGAGGTGAGGGCTCTGGGGGGGCTGTGCGCGCAGTGAAAGGTGGAGCAGCGGCAGCGATGAGGAACGGGCAAGATAGGGGCTGACGCCGCACAGCCTGCTGGCCGAGTCAGTCGCTTGTGCTCGTGCTTGACGGAGAGCAGTTACAAGTACCAGATGGCGGTACGCCGATCTACAAGGTGTCTCATTTACATGAGTTTTGCGATATGTTGAATGTTCTTTCTGGAGGTGTTCGAACATATGTACCAACATCACAAAGCTGGTTGTTGGACACATCTGTGAAGCATCCCCTGTAACACAACATATTTCGAGTGCCCATTTCAAACGCAATGCCGAGAAAATATTATGGTAAAACACTCTTCTAACATATATTCGCATTATGTACTTTCCGGTAGGAACGGAGTGACCTTGCTTCTCAATGGCTCTGGCAGTGTAGCAATGCTCTCCAATATCTCCTGCAGCAAGGAGGGAGCAGGCGCATGAGCAGGAATGGCGAAAGGAGCACGTGCCAGGGCCAACCGACGGCAACTTGTGGCACGAGCAGTGCATGGGCGCGAGTGAGGGGGGTGGCGTACTGACATGGCGGTGGTATCGCGCTGAGAAGTGGATGAAGAGAATGGCCTCGTTCTGAAACATGTGCGCCAGCGGGCGCAGCTGGAGGATGGCACCACGGCACACAGGGCATGTGGGGGCAAGAGCATCACGAGAGTTCTGACGTTCTGTGCAACTGCTGCCGACGCAAAAGTTAAGGCCAGTTTCGCCAGCTACTAAGAACCCAAGGGGTAGAACCCAAGGGCAGGTGATAAGACCAGGTGAGGGAGCGAGAGGAGAAAGCTTGCCTCGTTAATGTGAATGTGGCCGAACTTCCTTGCATGCTCTATGGTGACCGAGTCATCAATGAACGTCACCTGCACGCCACCACCACCACCATGCGATGAGGGGTTGAAGCTCAAAACACATGCGCTCCAATGAGATGGAAGAATACAACAGCAGCAAGTGGTGTGGTGGCAGTGAGCCCGTCCAGCAGCCGTGGCCTCTGGTGCCATGGCAGGGACATGGGGTGGGGCGGACCTCCATGATGAGCAGCTTGGCGCGGAGTACATGTGCGTTGGCGGGGTCCGTGATGAACTGCGCTGTTGTGTCGCCTGTGAACGCCACCTCGCCCACTTCCACCTCCTCCGTTATCTGCCCAGCATGCCATGCCACGCCATGCCATGCCGCACCATGGGATCGTGCAGTGAATGGAACACACATGACACAGCACACAGCCACCACCTTTCAGGAAAAGAAGTCAAATACTTGTGCTGGTACATGCGCGAGAGGGAAGCAATGCTGCACAACACGCGACAGCTCCCCATGCTGCTATTTACTCGCCTGTGTGCCCCACTCGCCTGTGTGCCTCACTCGCCTGTGTGCCGGCATCCTTGAGTCGCTTGATCTCGGCGTTTTGCAAGCCATGGTACTGCGGCAGCAGCTTGTGCCGCCGAGACGAAATCAAATAGCCCTGGGGGACACGGGTGTCAGACGTGGGGAGAGGCAGGGGCGGAAGCGAGCAGGAATTACGAGAAGCACGGATGGAGTCAGGGCAGGGCGCGGGCCCACAGTAGAGGGATGGCACGGTGGAACGTTGGTAATAGCACGTGACACTCACAGCTGGCAGCAAGCGCGGTGGGTGGTAGAGCAGTGGCACGAGCAACAAGGGCAGCATCCAGCAATCCACTTAGGGTTCCATGCCTTGATGCACACAGCAACCCTCTCACACCACCATCACCCCATACCATGCCTTTCCCCACCCTGCGTGCCCCATGCAGCGCACCTGGCTGGGCAGCACATGGTACGTGGTGAACGGCTTCACCCAATAGCCCTTGCCCAGCCGCATCTCCTCACCCACCTGCACACACACACACACATGCACACACGCACACATGCACGCACATCCGCACACACGCAGACGCACACGTGCAGATGCACACACACACACACACACACACACACACACACACACACACACACACACACAAACACTCTGGGCACGCGACAAGGCATGAGGTGAGGCATGGCGGTGTAGAGCGTAGATGGGCTGACGTGCCCCACAAGCAACATGGCACGCACGCATGGCAGGTAGCATGCCATGGCGGGAGGGGGAAGGGCAGGAGGGCGTGACAGGGGGAGCATGGCAGGGGTTTGTGACCTGGAGGGCTTTGAGTTGGAGGGGCAGGGAGCTGCCATCGAGTTGTTGGAAGCACTGTATCATGGCCATCACACCCTGCACGGCTGATGGCGGCACCACCACGGTGGGCGGCGCCAGTGAGAAGAGCCCCCTCGTTGCCACGTGGAACGCCAGCCCGCCCTGCATGCTCCCGCACGCCGTCGTGTGGGGTGGGGGTCGGGGAGGGTGTGGCGGAAAGGGGAGGAAGGGGGAGGGGAGGACGGGAGTTGGGAGGGAAGGGGATGGCACGATGTCTGGGGCATGGCAGGGGTCACACTGCGCAACGCCAGGCAGAATTGCAGCCGTGCGTGAAGCGGGTGAGCATGCGGCATTCCCAAGGCAGCGAGGGGCAGGGCGGGGGCGGGGGCACGGACCACGTGGTCGATGTGGGTGTGGGAGATGAGCACGGTGTCCTGGAAGACAGCGCGCGCAGGGCACCTGCCGATGTCAAACGCCACGCGCATGCTCGGTATAATCACACACGTCTCCTGCCCGCCCACTGACACGCCCTCCACCGCGTACCCCCCCACCACCATTCCCGCGCCCCGCTTGCCCCTGCCTCCTTGCTCCCCCTTGCCTCCTTCATTCCCCCTGCCCTCGCCCGCGCTCTTGCCCTTCTCCCTCCCGCCTCCCTTCTTCCCCTTGCCCCGCTTCTCGCTGCCCCCAGCCCCTACCGCAGGGGCCAAATCCTCCCCCGCGCCAGTCCGCGCCGTCGCCGGCCGCTCCTCTTCGTCGCCCTTCATCCCATCGCTTCCCCCTCGTTCGCCGCCCTCGCCAGTCGTCCGCAATGCACCGTTCGCCTCACATCGGCTTTCCTCCTCCACCACTCCGCCCGTCGCTGCTTCCGCACGCCCGCCAGCCGCCTCCGCGCCAACGCCACTCATCCCGCGCGTGCCACTGGCGCGCCCCTCGCTCCCCCGGCTTAGCCACCGTGCCGAAGCAAGCCGATCCTTCCACGCGCAGTGTGGCGTGGCGGAGCAGGCGGAATCGGCGCGGGCAAATGGCGGGGAGGGAGGTGGGGCGGGGATGTAGCAGGTGGCGGCAATGCGCGGAGACGGGAGGGGAGTCGCAATGAGGCGGCGGGAGAGGCGATTGGGGAGGGATGCAGGCGGAGACGACGAAACAAGGGTATACGGGCGGATATGGAGATACGGCGACGGATGGAGGGGCAAAAGCCGAAGCGCCACGTGGCAACAAACGGGGTGAAGGATGGGCGACATTCGAGCAGGAGCGAAAATTTGAGACACGCAATTTTGATTGGGGCGAGTCTGTGAGGCATGGACATCAACAGAACTCGTTGAAGCAACACAATGCACATACCGTACGATAAATGAACGTCAACACTGTTGCGTTTCTTCTTTACATGTCAGACAGGTTAATCAGGATTATCCAAGTTAACACAAAATTGTCTTGTAGGCAAACCTTCTCTGTATTGAAGTGACACGAGTGGGCACTTGCAATGGCGCAAGGTTGAAAGAATCGTGATGACGTCTACCATTTCGAGCTGGATCTGAAAGTTTCCAGCTCGCCTTACATTCACTTCGCATGGAGGGGATTCATATCCAGCATTTCTAGGCGCTTGTGCTGCTGGCGTGGGATGGCTTGGCAGGTAGGCGAGCAGCTGCGCTGTGGTGCGCAGAAGTGCCTGCGGCTGCCGTGCTGCTCTCACCCATTGAAGCGCCCCAGCTGCTGCTGCAACGCTTGCAACGCCAGCTCCGCATTGCCCTGCCCTGACGCCTGCAGCAGCCACTGAGCCACCCCTCCCCCCGCCCCTGACTGCTGCTGCAGCAGCGCCAGGAGCTGCTGCTGTGCGTGTGCCTGAGTCTGCTCTGAGTGTGCCCGCTGCTGTGCCCGCTGCTGTGCCCGCTGCTGTGCCCGCTGCTGTGCTTGCTGCTGTGCTTGCAGCCACTGCTGCAGTACCTGCTGCTGCTGAAGCTGGGACTGTGAGGGCTGGGCAGGCTGCTGCATTCCAAGAGCACTGCTGCCGTTCGCCTGCACACCATTACCCATCACCACTCCCCCTGCCCCCACACAGCCCCCCTGTCGCACGCCCGTTTCCCACTGTGCGGGGAGGAAGGAATGCTGCGACACTGCTGCGCCCACGCCTGCCTCCCTGGCCTCCCCTGGCCCCACTGCAGCGCTGCACGTGGCAGCACCAGAGGCACCCGAGGGCAGTGCAGCAGGCGGGAGGGCGGAGCCCTGTTGCCTCATGCCCGCCACCCACTCGTGGCTCGCACTGCTCCCACGCGCGCTGCTGTTGTGCCTGGCACCCTGCTCCACTCCCAGTAGCGCCGCCAGGGAACTGATGACAGCAGCGCTGCTGCCAGGCACAGCAGCTGCTGCAGCACTGCCACTCGCATCTCCTGATGCCCCAAAAAAGCTCGCCCCAACGCCATGCATGGCCTGCCCTGCATTCCCCAACAGCAACGACAGCTGCGACTGCTGATGCTGCCTTGCCTGCTGCTGCTGTTGCTGCTGCTGCTGCTGGTGCTGTAACAGCAGTTGTAGGACAGTGGAGGCGTCAGTGCCACCCATCCCCGCCAGCAGCCCGTGAATCACGCTCCCCGCATTGTTCTTGTCCTCCCCACCCACCTTTGCCAGCAGCGCTCCAACAAGGCCCTCACCTGCCGTGCCATGCGCGTTCCATGACCCCTGCCCTTGCATTAGTGCCTGTGCCTGTGCCTGTACCTGCGTCTGTGCCTGCGGTGGTGCGTGCAGCAGCGCTGCCAAGGGCAGCAGGCCGCCCTGTGCGAGGGCGAGCAGCAGCTGCTGCCTGTGCTCCGGGGCCACTGACAGCAGCGCCTGCCTCACCGCCTCCGCCTGCCTCACCTGCGCCTGCTGCTGCGCCTCCGCCTGCTGTTGCACCGCCAGCAGCAGCAGCTTATCCGCAATCCCCACCCGGCTCCCTGCTGCTGCCGCCGCCGCTGCAGCTGCTGCGGCTGCATCTCCCCCCCCTTCCCCTAACCCCCCATCTGCCATGCGCCTCTCCCCACCCGGCCCTACTCCTACGGCCGTGCCTGCAGCAGCAGCGTGTGCATTGGCAGCTATGAGTCCCAGCAGCAGCCTGTGAGCGTCACTGCCCACCGCATTGCCCATGGCGACACTGCTCTGCTGCAGCCTCTCCGCCACCACTCGCTGCTGCACATGCTGCACCACTTGCCCCAAAACACCTGCACTTGCAGCACCAGCAGGCACGGCAGAGGGCGGGGGAGGCGCTGAGCCTGCATGCTGCCATTGCTGCGCCATTGTCTCTTTGCCCGCATGCTTCCCCTCTCCATCCCCTCCTTGCTCCCCATTCTTAACGCTCCACGTGTCTGCTCGTTCGCCCCCATGCCTCGCACTGCCCCCACTTGCGGCGGCAACCACCTGCTGGCCAGGCTGTAGAGGGCTCTGCGCTGCTCTCGCCCGCTTGCTCCTCTCCTCCCCGCCCCCGTCGTTGCAAGCTGCCCCGCTTGCCATCCCGTCATGCCCCGCTCCACCGGCCCCACCTGCCCCCTCACTGCCATCGCTCAGCACGCCACCTGCAGCCCCCACAGCAGCGCCCATGGCGCGATCCACGCCTGCATACCCCGCCAGGGGCTGCCACTCCGCCAGCGCGGGGTGGGGGAAGTTGGTGCGCGCCTTGGGCCCGCGCAGCTTGATGGCCGCGCGGTCGTACGCGCGCGCTGCCTCCTCAGGCGTGCTGAACGTGCCCAGCCACACGCGCGACCGCTTCTTGGGGTACCGGATCTCCGCCACCCACCGGTTCTCATGCCTCTGCCTCACACCGCGAAACAGCTTCCCATCACCCACACCCGCTCCCTCCTCTCGCCCTCCTCCACCCCCACCCGCACCTCCACCTGCTCCCCTCTCTCTGCTGTTTGATGGCGTTGCATCACCAGAGGCTACGAGCTGTGCCGTGCTGCCAGCCGCGTCAGGTGCAGGGGAGAGCAGCAGAGGGTGCGAGGAGGGAAGCGGATCATCCATGCAAGGGTGGTGCTCGGGCGACATGCTGCCACTGCACTCCAGCGCACCGGATCCCGAATGGCAGCCCGAGTCACGCTCGTGGGCAGGGGGCAGCGCGAGGCCGCCCATGCCATGCTCTGGCAGCTCTGCCTGCTGCTCCACCTGCTCGCGCTCCCCCACCACGCGCTGCTGCTGCACTCCCTCCCTGCTCCCCGTCGCGCTGTATGCCCCGGCATCCATGCCCGCCGCTGCTGCCTGCACGCCCACGCCTTCGTGGCGTGCTCCTCCATGCGCCTGCCCCACGTCACCCGTGTCTGCGCGCATCCCACCACCTGCTGCACCGCCACTCGCCACCCTGCCTCCTGCGCTTGGCACTGCAGGGTCGCCGCAAGCAACGGGTGGCTCAAGAAGCATTGCGGGAGTGGCAGCAGCAGCACCGTCCGCCATGAATTGAGCTGCATCTGCAGCGCCTGGGGGGGCTGAGAATACTTTCCCAAGCTCCGCTCCCACGCCACCCCGTGCCACGGGCCGTTGCTCCGCGTGAGGATCCGACACCTCCTGCTCGCCTCCCTGCCACGCGCCCACAGGTGCGTGGCGGCCACCACCCGCGCATTGCGTCTGCTGCGTCGCACACTGCTCTCTATCCGCCCTCCCATCCTGCACGTCGCCTTGCTTCTCCTGCTCCGCTTGCTTCTCGTTTTCCCGTTGCTCCTCCTCGCCGCCTTGCTTCTCCGCACCGTCCTCTGTCAGTGCATCACCTTGTTTCAAAGCGTCGCTGTGATCCAGCACTCGACCAAACAGCTGCTGCTGCCCACCCTGCACTGCCCCTGCCTCTTTCGCCGCCTCACTGCTGCACCGCGCCGCCAGATCGCCCACGCCATGACCCTCGCGTGTGTCTCTCATCATGCTCGCGTCTACCACGCTCCCTTCGCCGTCGCCCCTCCTCTCGTCCTCTGCTGCACGAGCAGTCCGTTTATTCGCCCCCACAGCTTCCTGCCCCTCCGCCTCCAACCTTCTCTTCGCACCGACCACTGTCGTGCGCGCATCGTCTATCGCGCTCATCTGCGCTCCCCTGTCACCGCGCACTTCACTTTCACCGCTCGCGCGCTTAATCGCACTCGCCCCTTCCCTCCCTCCAGCATCCGAGCCCTCTCCCCTCGCCTCGCCCATCCCGTCGCGCCCCTCCTCATCGTCGCGCTCTGTTTGCCCCTCCGCTCCTTTCTCCGCCTCACGCCCTGCGCTCACCCCCTCCCCCTCGTCGCCCCGCCGCGGGCTGCGGTCGTGCCCATCGTTCCGCATCGCAGAGCCGTCGCTCGCCGTCGCGGCTCTATTCTCCCCGTTGCGTTCGCCTCGACCTTCACTGCCCGTCGCGTCGCCATAGCCATCAGCTTCCCGGGCGGCGCCTCCCGCCATGATGACGACACTCGCCTCGAGGCCACCACCGCCTTGCTCCCGCGGCCCAAGAGGCGGTCCACGCACGAACCACTGTGACGCTGATGCGCGCAACTGCGCGCGAGGTCACTTGACGGCGGAACGACGGCAGACAAACTTGTCTTTGCTAAGATGGAATTTTCCCACGCGAGGGGATGGGCGTAAGCTTGAGTACAGCACAGCTAGCGGAGCTGTAATTCCGCTTGACTTGTCTCCGTCTCGCGCGCGCGCCTCTAACGTCAGGTCATGTCAGGGGTCGTACTATAGGTCAGGTGACGCGCTCGTACGTCTTGGGTTCATAATATCTAGTGCTAGTTCCAAGTGGTCAGGTGTCAGGGTCGTACCAAGGTGTTGGAGGGAAGTTAACAAAAATCACGAGAATAAAATCGTTGCATATATGTCAGAAGGCGAGGCTATGGGGGGCGCAAGTGGTTGCTAGCGACGAAGCAGCCGATGGGACAGCGAATAGGAGGCGAGTGGCGGAAAAGAACGCCTCATTGCTGCATGGGCTCGGCGCTCCCCGCCCGACCGCCCACCTCGGACAGCCAACCTGTTTCCCCCATGACCCGCCCAGCTTTTTCGGCCCTCGCAGATCGAGAGCTCCATCCACCCACCATGGTCCATCCATGGTTGATGGTTCGCTGAGGATTGCGGAAATGTGGGGAAGGTGCTGCCAAGCCATCCATGCACTGGGCGGCTTTCTAGGGATCGGGCGGGCATGGTTTGGTTTGGTGAGCGGGATGAGGATGGAGTAGTGTACTGTACAGAATGTTCATGCAGGAGGGGCAGGTGTTGCTGGAGCCTATCGGACGGCTGTGAGGGAGGCACGCATGACCACGTCAACAGCATATGGCCGAAGCGAAAGCACACTTTGTGTACAGTATTGCATGGTTTATTCCTGCCCCTGACAAAGTGGAAGCCTACGATCATCCTAATATCATAACTTCTACTATGGTTGTACTAAAAAAGAATTGAACTCCATGGAATAACTAGTTGTTGTATCCTCCCCTTAAAACACCATAGATTCTGATGATAACTTTAGAAAAAAATGTAAGAAATCTTATAAAATCTTGTCTTGTGATATTTTCGCCTCTGGTGCATGCCTTAGCGTACGCCTTCATTTGTAAGACCATTCTGTATTAACGTTTCATGTCCACTCTTCTTTAACAGCTGGATAACAGAACCTATGTTAACTCATCCTAAAACTCTTCTCTTGTTGACCCGCCCTTGAAAGTTTCATATGATTGGATGGATAGGGTCTAAAAGTTACTAAAATATCTATTTGGTTGCTCTTGCCATCAGCTACAATGCTAAAGTGCTGAGCTGAAGCCTTGTAACGATCCCCCACGACCACTACAGTACCCCCTGCACCCACCACCCGCCCACCCAACTGTCAATCTCCTTGCTTCTATCCGAACCCAGCCCAACCACTTTGGTTCCGAGTAGTCCTAACCCTAAAAACGAGTGATGTGCAAGCAAGGTGCTTCAACTCGACGCAACCACGCCACACCCTTTCCCTGCCCCCACGATGACGGTCGTGCGAGTCGCCATTATCGCCGTAACTCTAGACAAGTGTGACAACTTAAATTTGCAGCAATGCGAGTAGATCCTCCCGCCAACCGAGCGCGCCTATGAACCTGCTCAGGCAGCGAGTGGCGGGACCGTCTGGACTAGGCGGAGGGAGGAAGGGGGTGACGAGTGGAAAGACGAATGGCGCGAGTGGGGATGGTGAGGAGAGAAACAGTGGAGGAGTGGACGGTCAAGGCGACGGACTGCCTCTTCCCCCGGGAGACGATTGGAGCCGTCGCAACTGGCCTGATCTGGGCAACAGCGGCAGCAGTTTCAGCCTCAGCAGCAGCAACAGCAACAGCAACAGCAACCCCACCTTTTCTGGGTTCCCCCCGCCACTTGTTGCCAACAATGGTTCTGCCAGTCCTGAGCGCAAGCTGGGCTGGCGCCGTCGCTCGCTCTCCGTCTTGCCGCAGAAGGCCGCCCTCCGGTCCACCTCCCCCCTCCGCGGCGTCTTCCCCAGCGTGCAGTCGCTGGCCGGCGGAAAGGAGTCGGCGGGGGGAAACGCGCGGGCTCAGCGGAGGGGCGGGGGGAAACTCGCCAGCGAAGCGGAACGCCCGGGGGCACTGCCGGTTGGAGGAGCGGGCGGAGCAGCAGGGGGGGCGGCGGGCGCGGTGATGAGGCGGCAGGGGCTGAACCTGGGTCCGCGGGGCTCCCCGCAGGGGCTGAACGCGCTAGAGGACGTGCTCAAGGGGGGATGGTCCTCCGCCGAGTCCTCTCCCGCCGTCACCCCGCAGCGCTCCATGACCGTTGGGATCGACAGGACCGGCGCTACCAGGGGCGGCGGGGCTGCCAAGCTCGCTTTCGCCTCGCCGCCCTCTTTTGGCGGGTGGGAAAGGCGAGCCGCGGCAGAGGAAGTGGGGGGAGCCGGAAGGGCGTCAGAGCTGGGTGGGTGGGGTGACGGGGAGGAGGGAGGTGATGTGGCTAGGGGTAGCGGGCTGGGAGGCGAGGTGAGCAGAGAGATTCAGGGGACGGGGATGACGGTGGCAAGCGCGGGGGTGGGGGCAGGCCATCCGCGGATGGTAGACGCGGAGGCAGCAGGTGGTGGGAGTCCATGGCGCGCGGTGGGCGGGAGTGGTAGCGCGGAGGACGGGGGCGGTGGTGCGGAAGGTAGGTGGGGCGATGAGGGGCGAGGGCAGAAGAGGGCGATGCGATCCAAGACGGGCGATGGGGCGGCGGCATGGGCGGGATGGGCGCACGCAGGCGAGGGGTGGCGGGCGGACGCGGGGAGCGGAGGGGAGGCGCAGGAGCACAGGGACGCGGCTGGCGCGCAGGTGCTGGGGCGGGCGTGGAGCCGGGCGGGGGAGACAGCAAACGACATGGGCGGGGGCAGGGGAGCAGCAGCGGAAGGCGCAGCGGGAATGGGGAGCAGCAGAGGAGCCGTGGCGGGCGTGTGGGGTGGGAGAGGGGCAGGGGGCTTGCCAGGGAGGCCTGCTGTGGGGAGGCTGGGCGGCGGAGCCATGCATGGGGGCGGTGTGGTGGGCGCAGGCCAGGGGAGGGTAACGGCGATAGCTCGTCACCGCAGCCAGAGTCTCGCGGACCTGCTGCAGGCGCCGCCAGGCGCAGGGGGGAGGTCGGGGGGCGGGGCGGATGGGCGCGGCGCGGACAGCGGGAGTGGTAGCGACGCGGAGGGGGAAGGGGAGAAGTGCATGCGGCGGGGCTTCAGCCTGAACGCCAGTGGCAGCAGCGCGGGGGACAGCGGCGCGCATGTGAGGCACGGCGCCCTGGGGCGAGGGGCCGCGCATGTGGTGCGCCCTCCGCATCTCCCCAGCCCCAGCATGAGCGCGCTCCCCTTGCTCTCCCACGCCTCATCTGTTCCCGCCGTTGCTCCCCCATGGAGGGGCCCGCGGGAGGGAGGGGAGTGGGCGGGGAAGGCGGCGGAGCAGGTGGAGGCGCGGGAGAAGGAGGCGAGAGGGAAGGCAAGAGGGGGAGGCGGCGGGAAAGGCGTAAGTGATGGGCGGTTTGCGTGGGACGTTCCATGGCAGGGGCTTGTGAAGGGGGAGGGGGGTGATGAACAGGAGAGGACATGGGACGAGGAACGCAGGCAGGGCGGGCAGGGGGGGCGGCAGCGCAAGGAGCGAGAGGAAGGATGTGGTGTTGAGTCGGAGAGGGAGGGGAGTGAGGAGACCAGTGAGGAGTGGGAGGAGCAGGAGGAGGGGAGGGCGAAGAACGGGGGAGTGCAAAACGAGCAGGGTCTCGATGATACAGAGAGTGAGAGCGATAGGGAGAGCGCGAGTGAGAGTGGCAGTGGCGGTGGGGAAGAGGAGGGGTCTGAAGGCGAAGGCAGCACGGGTGAGAGTGTGCAGTGGCGGCAGCAGGGCGGGCGTGCGAGCGAGCAGGGGAGCAGTGGCAGTGCGGAGGGGTCGGTGGTGGTGGTGGAGAGCGACAGTGATGCCGACGCTGAGAGCGATGCCGCGTGGCACAGCGACGCTCATGCTGATGCTCATGGGCGCAGTGCTGCTGCCTCTGACGCTAGCTCTGAGGGTGCTCACAGTGACTCTCGTGATGATGATGATGTGGTTCAGGGGAGAGGGAATGCTCGTCAACGGAGGGCTGCTAGGGGGGACAGTGGTGAGGAGCGAGCAGGGCTCGAGCAGAGTAGAATGGATTTGAAGGTACACGGGAAGGAGCACGGACAGCTGTTGAAGAAAGAGAAAGAGGAGGAGGAGGAGGAGGAGGAGGAGGAGGAGGAGGAGGAGGAGGAGGAGGAGGAGGAGGAGGAGGAGGAGGAGGAGGAGGAGGAGGAGGAGGAGGAAGAGGAGGAGGAGGAGGAGGAGGAGGAGGAGGAGGAGGAGGAGGAGGAGGAGGAGGAGGAGGAGGAGGAGGAGGAGGAGGAGGAGGAGGAGGAGGAGGAGGAGGAGGAGGAGGGGGAGGAAGGGGAGGAGGAGGGAGGGGAGGAGGATGAGGTGGTAGATTCAGTGCCTATATCGCCCACAATGCTTGCCCTCCTCACCTCGTCCACCACGCCATACCCCCACCCGTACCCGCTCTCGCCCTTGCACCATGCGGCCTCCCAGCCGCCCATGCACATGCCTAAAGCCAGCGCCAGCAGCACCAGCAGCAGCGGCGGCGGCAGTGACAGCAGGCGACAGAGCGGGAGTGGGGGGGGTGGTAGCTGGGGTGGGCAGGCAAGAGGCTCAGGCTCAGCGCAGGAGAGTGGAGGACAGGGAGCAAGGCTGGGTCGACCCGCAAGTACAGGCGCTCTTGCTTTCCATACGCGCCCCTCTCCTGCTGCCCCACCACCTGTTGTCGCCACCACTGCTGATACCACCAGCAACAGCATGAGCAACATCAATATCAACATGAGCAGCAGTGGCAGCGGTGGCAGCAGCAGAGGCAAGAAGGCAACGCTTCCCTGTGCGCCCCTGCCGCCTCCCGCCGCGCCAGTTGCAGGAGGCTCTAGGGCGTCTGCTGCCGGGGGGCATGGGCGCAGGGGCAGTGGGGGCAGGGGGAACAGGGGGAAGCAGCGCGTGAGTGAGGGTGGCAGCGTGGTGTATTGGAGCAGTGGCAGCGGTGGCAGCTGGGGTGGCAGCGGTGCTGACTGGACTCTCACTGACCTTGCTGCCCCTTCCACCTCGCCCACTGACCCCCAGCATTCTCCACAAGACGCACCGCAGGTGATGTGCAGGGCGGGCGAGAGAGAGCGAGGGGTGATAAGGGGCTGGAGAGGTGTGAGAGCATTGGTGGAGCCGCGCTCGTCCCCTGGCTTAGTGCACGTGCTTTCTTGTGGATGGATGGGCTCAGCACACAACACAATGGCACGCACTCGAGCACCCTCTCACAGCTGCTCCTTCTCCCATCCCTCCCACTCACCCGTGTGCGCCCCCTGCTTTACACCCTCCTCTCACTGCAGGTGGCACCATCCCAAGCTGCGAACAGAGGCAGCCCTGCCACTCCGTCCGCCCGCACCACTGCCACCACCGCCGGTGCTCTCAACAGCAGCAGCAGCGGCAGTGACCTGCCCGCCAGCCACTTGCCCCTGCGCCCTTCCCCTGCGTTCGCTGCTGCCAGACCCCCTCGCCAGCCATCCCTGCCCGCGCCACAGGCAGGGGGGGGAGCGGGAGCAGCAGGAGGTGATGGAGGGGATGGAGGGGAGTTCGGGGGACGGGGCAGGAGAGAGGGCTTGGAGAGGAGGGCACTGAGTCAGGTGAGTGGAGGGGTAGAACCAGCGGTAGCTGGCGTATCTCCCTATGCTGTTGCTTGCTGTTTGAGCCACGCCTTTTTCCGCCTGAGCCTGCTTTTCCTGGCCTGCCCCCATGCTCCCCCCTGCACCACCATGTGCAGATCCCACCACTCGACTCCTCGTCACCCACACAGGCATCACCATTTGCATCACCGCACGTGCCAGCAGCGGTCGCCTTCCCCTCCTCCTCCTCCGTGCCCGCCTGCATGCCCTCCTCCCGCTTCGCCCCCTCCCCCCCACCCTTTGCACTTGCCTCCCTGCGCACATCCTCCCTACAGCCCTCCGCTGACCCAGCAGCCCCAGGGGACTCGCCTCCCATACTCACCGCTGCATCAGCGGGTGGGGGCATACGGAATGCAGCAGCAGCGGCGTCACCGTCAGCACCCAAGCCACGGGCCCATCCAGTATTGTCAGCACCATCGTCATCAGCGGCAGCAGGGCAGCAGCGCGTGTGTGTGCGGTGTGAGGGAGTGGAGATACCCAAGCAGGCGCGCATAGGCGGGGACATCACTGTGTGGTTCACCCTTCGCAACTTCTCCAAGCGACCGTATGTCCTTCGCCTCGCTCCCTCCCCAACCTCCTCCGCTGGCACTCAGGCATGATCTTCCATAAGCCGCTCATTCTCACGCTGCTGCCGGGCATTTCACTTGCTCTCTCTCTCCAACTCTCATCCCTTTCCCCACCCTCTCATTCTTGGCCCTTGCATTTGCGCTCTTCCCCCACTCTTCCCCCCACCCTTCCCCCCACCCTTCCCTCCACGTGCTAACGTCCCATCTGCACAGAGTGCGGGGGCAGGTGGAGCTAGTGGTGAGGGTGCAGTGGCAGACGGAGCAGGGCGAGGCGGTGGAGAGGGAGGCGAGGGAGCTGGCGCTGCCCATGGCACCTGCAGACCGCACGCGCATGGACGTCAGAGTGCCCCTCGACGATGCCGCTGCTGCCTTCTCCCACGCCTCTCTCTCCGCTCACCTGGTGCTTGCAGGCACGCCCGCACACCACAGGTATGGCGAGGGTCGGATGGGGGAGGGGGGAGTGGAGTGGAGGGAGCGGCTTGAGCAGGGGAGGGGAAGGCCTGGGCTGTGGGGGGAGCGCAGCGCATGGCATGGTGGTGGAGCTGGGTGTGTTTCTTCTACGATCTTTGCTGTCAAGTGCCCCATGCACGCTCTCCAACCCAACTCCTCTTCCTGGCCCTCTGCTCGCTCTTCTCCCCGCTCCTTTCCCCTCCCTTGTTGTTCCCCGTCTCCCCCCCCCTCCCCCCTGTCCCCACCAGGCGCAGTGAGGTGCGGTTGGTGCCAGCATACACGGGGCACCCCGCGCACATCCTGCTGCTCTCAGACGCCTCGCTCTCCCGCCCCCAGTTCCTCACCTGGCGCTCCATCGCCGCCCTGCTGCACCTCTCCCTCGCCGTCTGGGATATCGCCCTGCACTCCTCCCTGCTCCCCCCCTCCTCCACTTCCTCCTCCCCCGACCCCTCCCAACCGCGCTCCACCGCCGTACCCTCTGCCGCCAGCAACCCCTCGCTCCCAGCAGCAGGTGTGCAAGAGGCACGGTCAGTGCAGGTGGCGGGGGCACTGGAGGGCGAGTACTTACACCTCGCTGCCAGGCCACCCCATGCCATGCCTGCCGCTGCACCCCGTGCTGACGCGGCAGGCTCAGCTGTTAGTGGGTGGAAGGGGGAGAGGGGGGGAGGTGGAGGAGGAGTGGGCGTGGAGGTGGGGGAGGCGAGTGGGAGTCGATCGCTGCAGTGGCAGCACGAGCAGCGCATGGCAGCATCCATGAACGATGCTCTGCTCACCCGCACCACACAGCCCGGCGCCCACACGCCCCTGCATGCTGCTGCTGCCGCGCACCACAACGCAGTGGAGAGCGTGCGATCGTGGAACGAGGCGCCTCAGTTCCGCTCCGCTCCCTTCTCATCCTTGTCCGCTTCCCATGTGCCGCTTGTGGTCTCGGTTGCGCCCTTGCAGCCACGCGTGTTCGCACATGCACACACGTACAGCATGCAGCAACACGTGCACCCACTCCACCTGCACCCGCAGCAACAGCTAAACCAACAGCATCAGCAGCAGCAGAGCGAATGGAACAGCAGCAGTGCTGCTCGCGTTCACTCGCACTCGCGCCCACCTGAGCTGCTCTTCCCAACCTCCCCGACTGCCTCCTCCCATTACCCCGCCCCATTGTCGCCCACATCTCCTTCCCTTGCTCTCCCAGACTCACCCGCCTCCCCACACCCCTCACACCACCCGCCCTTCTCTCCCACCGGTCCCACCTCCGTCTCCCACACTCTCTCCTATGCCCATGACTCCGCGCCTGCCGCCCACCTCTCATCGCGCCACGCGCTGCTGCTGTTGACACAGAAGGGCCCGCGGGCCAAGCACCTGCGCCACCTGCTGCACAAGGCCCTGCCTCGCGTGCTCGCCTCTGCCACTGCTGCTGCTGGTGCTGCGGGTCACAATGCCGCTGGCGCTGCTGCTTCGCGTGACGCCGTGGCTGGTGAGTTGCACGTGCCGTTCTCATATGTGCCACACAGACCCCACCATTACCCTCATTTGCAGCACCATTATCACTTCCCGAACATTTTTACGTGATCCTTGCACATACATAACTCCCCACACAAAGTTTTCTGTGTGCCATCTCGCGTCTCTAACCCTGCTCAAACCCACCTCCCACCGCCCTGCCCGCAGTCTTAGCAGCGGGCATAGACCCCGGCGACCTGTGTGAGTTCCTGCGAGTGACCTCGCGCCTCGTGCGCTGCGTGGAGGTGCCGCTCACAGGGGGCGCGCTCGCTGCAGGGATGGGTGACGAGGGTGCGCCTGCTAAGGCCGCTCGCAAGGGGAAAGGAGGGAAAGGCAGGGCCAGCATGCTCGCTTGCTTCCGCCCGGTGTCCCCCTTTGCAGCTGCCTCGGCGCACGCGTATAAGCTTCATGTGAGTTGAAGAGTGGCCGTTTCAAGAACCAAGCAAGTGTTTGCGCGTGCTGCTTGTAGTTGCGTGCCTTGTCCCGGTGTGCCTTGTTGCTGAACCATGCCGTGAACCAAGTCTCCCACGGTGTGGTGACTTTCACTCACTCTCCGCACCTCTCTTTCTTGCTCCGTCTCCCCGTTCCGGCTCCCTGTCTCACACTGGCAGGAGAGCCTGCAGCAAGAATTCCCCGAGTTCCGCCATTTCGTCTCCATCGACCTCCACTCTACAGACGGGCCTGTCCAGCTGAAACATTTCCGGTGCCCGCTGCCTGCCATGCTGCGCGTGCATGCGCTGCCAACAGAGTCCTTTGACCCCCCTCCTGATGACCTCATAGTGGCGGGGCACCTGGGCGTGGGGGATACATCTGACGACGACAGCGGAGATAACGGGGATGGTGACAGCGATGCTGATGATGGTGACTATGATGCTGCTCGTGGTCGTGATGCTCATGGGTATGGGGATGGGGATGAAGATGGGGATGGAGATCGGGATGGGGATGCGGATGGGGCAGGATATGAAGGCAGTGCATGGGCAGAGCTGGACAGCCAGGGGGGCAGGGATTCGTATGGGGGCAGGGATGAGGGCGAGGCGAGTGATGGCGATGCAAGTGACGCCTTGGAGGGCGCGCATGCGAATGGCTACTCTGATTCAGGCACCGTGGTTGACAGCGGTGACTGGGGTGCTTACAAGGACCAAGGGAGCCACGGGGAAGGGGAGGCACAGAAGGGAGGGGAAGGGAGGGGGGGAATGAGGAGGGGGAGGTATGTGCGGGGGAGCAGCACGGCGAGTGTGGTGTTTCACGAGGATGCGGACGCGGATGACTGGGGTGCTGGCCTGGGACTCTCCAAGAGCACCACTCTCGGGGGCGGCCGCGACAGGGAGAAGGGGCGCGGGAAGGGACGGGCGGAGGCGGCGCAAGGTGCTGTGGAGAGCAGCCGGTGGGGAGGGGCGGAGGGGGAGAGGAGAGGGAGAGCGGGTGGTGCTGGTGCGGAGAGCATTGCAAGGGGCATGGGGAGAGCAGAGATGGGAGGAGAGCGGCGCTCACTGGTATCTTCGGGGAAAGCATTGCGAGCTTCGTCAATGCCCCGTCAGAGGCCGAGTGGGTACGCACAGGGCGCAAGGCGCGCTTTGTCCCCTCCCACACGCCCCGGCGCTTGTGCCGCTGCGCGCCCTCCTCCTGGTGGTGCTGCTGCTGTTCGTCCTCCCAGCCATCGAGACTTTGCCGCTGCTGCTGATGGTTCTGAGGGGCAGGAGCGGGAGGCGAGGGCAGAGCAGCAAGAGCGGCAGTTGAACCGCAACCTGTCCTTCCAGGGCGAGGGATGGGATGGCAGTGTGGCCCCAAGTGACGCGGAGCAGCGGCAGCACGAGGGGCACGCAGAGGATGCCTTGGACGGCAGTCAAGGCTCAGAGTGGACGACAGGGGGAGGGGGCGGGGATGATGAATGGGGAAGCTACTCCGAGCCAAACAACAGAATGCAGCACAGCAGACCGCAGCAGCAACAGCAGCATGGGCGAGGAAACCAAGAGAATTCCCAAGAACAGAATTCCCAAGGGCGGCAGGGGAGGCGCATGAGCACACGTCAACCAGTGGAGCCGCAGTCTCCGCCATCGCCCCTCCACCTGCCAGGCGCCAAGGACGCCTTCGCCTCGCCCGACTCCGTGCCCCCTCTCCCCCGGCGCAGCATCAGCATGGGACGTGCCACCACGGGCGCGTCCCTGCCGTCCCGCCTGGCAGACATGGTGCGCTCCCTCACGCCCTCGCGCTTCGACCACCGCCGCCATGCTCATGACCAGCGCCACGGTGCAGGGGAGGCGGAGGGGGAGGAGGGCAGGGAGCTGCGGGCCGTGCAGAGCTTGAATAGCCGAGGGTTCAGGGGCAGCCGCAGTCACGTGAGGGCAGCGGGCAATGGCGAGGGGGTGGGAGGTGTGGTGACAGCGGCAGCAGGGAGCAGCTTGAGCCGGCTTGGTTTGGGGAACCAGGGGGCGAGTGGAGGGAAGCAGGGCACGGGGCGGGGTAGAGAAGGGGCCGGGAGGCGATGGGGTGGAGGGAGAGGCGGCGGGAATGGTAGCAGGGGTGAGAGCGAGGGGCCAGTTGAGCTCACGTCCTCGCTCTCCCTCCCCATGTGGGTGTCCGCTCGCAACCAACCCAGGGATGTCAGCCCCACGCGCCTCTCCCTGCCACGTGGCAACCCCTCCTTGCGCCACATCAGCAGCATGGGTGCAAGGACAACGAGTCGAGTGAACTCCCTGGCAAGGAGTGTGAGCAAAGGGCCCGTCCCAACCGGTCGCAAGGTCCACCTGGGTGCCCCTGACCCCCCCACCTCCTACATTCGCAGCCTCAGCGAGAGCCATGCCACTGCTCGCCGAACCACTCTGCCAAACCTGTTGGCAAGCCTCGGGAAGCCGCCGAAGCTGGTGCCTTTGGAGGGGGAGGGGTCAGAGTACGGGCTGGCAGTGGTGGCGGTGCTGTCGGCGCTGCCCATGCGCGCCAAGGTGGCTGCCGCCCTCGCATCGGGTGTGCAACACAGTGGGGGAGGTGGTGGTGGTGGAACCTCGTTTGAGGGCTACACAGGCACCTCCGTGCATCGCCTCACTTTGCTGCAGGTACAGTGCTCTGCTGGCTGTGCGGATGTTGCACTCTACTGTGGTGCGTCCTGGGCAACCATTGATCTCGCCCGTGCCGAAACGAGTCCGTGCATCATGCTGGTGCCTCATCCCGTTGTCTGCCGCTTGTGTGTGTGCTATGCCGTGTGTCCTGTGCAGGTGGTGGCAGCGTGCATATGGGCGGACCTGCAATACGATCTCCTCCACTCACGCCCAGCCATAGAGGCAGCAGCTGCAGCAGGGCCCGCCACCTCACATCCCGGTGCCTTCTCTCCTGCACTGCTCCTGCCGCAAGCTGCCGCCCTTCTAGCAGAATTGGAGCGCCATGCCACCACTCCCCCACACAGCACAACCTGGCCACCCCCTGACCATGTCATTCTCGCTCTCTCCTCTGGCCTCCTGGTCCTCGCCTTCTCGCCCACCCTGCCTGTCGCTGCCGCCGCTCCATCCGCCTCCTCCTTCCTCCGGTCCTCCTCCCTCTCCGCTGCCACACTCTCCCGCCCCTCCCCTTCCTCGCTTCCTCACAACCCCTCCTCACAGCCCCTCTCACCAGCGGCAGTGGCGGCAGTGCGAGCAGTGGCGAGCCAGTGTGTGTCGCGCCTCAAGGGTCTCCTCACACCGCAAGGAGGAAGCCAGGGAAGGCTTGTCAGTGGTGGGGGGCGGGACGGGTGGAGGATTGGGTGGCTGCCAGAGACAGCAGAGGAGGTGGCAGGGATCCAAGCACAGCTCGCAGTTGCACAGCGCGTGCTGCCTGATTGGCTGGGAGTGCACCGCGCTGCACAGGAGGCTGCCGCAGTGGTGTGGGAGGATTGACAGTGGTCATTGATAAAGTTCGTGTGTTCTTTGCTAACAGAAAACGACTGGAAAACAACTGGGCATCTGCGCCGCGTGTTGGTGGAGCCATGGGTTGTCGTGTCATCGCTGGGAGCTTCCACATCCATATGGCTGTGTATATATGGCTTGCGGGTGGTTATGGCGTTAACCACGGCGTGCTGATGCGCCATGTGTATGCTAACCAATGCTAATTTATTAATTTATTCAGGTAGAGCTCATCCATGATGAAAAGAGCATATGCACCGAGGCTGTGAATATAACTTGGTAGGCAATTTTTACTGAATCACTGTGGTGAATATACCCTTAGGCGACAATCTCAGCGGCGAGGCGACTCCATTTTTCCACAGCCAGAACCAAAACCAAGGGCTGCCTCGAGATTTCCATTTTTGTTCCCCAGGCCGTCGTTGCTCACTGCTGCGCTCGCTCGCCATGGACCCTTCCACTTGCTTGTCCCGTAACACCCTCCACCACACCAATCCCAGCAGCACAAGGCCCATAAGCACTGGATCCACACTGGATGCGCCGTTCCCGCCATGGATAGGTATAATCTCCCCAGCAATTCCACGAGACGGCAGTGCAAAGGTGGTGCGCCGAGGTGCCAGCACACTCTCGCCGTGCTCCTCGCGAGCGGATCGGAGTTCTGTCCGCAATGTCTGTCGGAAGCGCTCTCAGGGCCCGGCCTCGCGACGCACAAGATCATATCGGCGCGCTTCTTCCTCGACACGCTCCGATCCGACCCCGACCTATGCCGTCTGGTCGCGTCCGAGTCGCACTACCTGCTCGCGGTTCCGCTCGTGCAGGCCCTCGCGTGCTCGCGAGACGAGGAGCTAGCAGCGACGTTAGCGGACTTGGTGGTCTTTCTTGTGAGCAAGGGGAGCGGTCGAGGCGGAAGGAACGACGCGAGCGGGAGCGACGAGGGGTTGCTGCTGGAGAATCTGGTTCGCGCCGTGGCGGTGGAGATGGATAAGATCCCCGTCGCCTCCTCCTCCAGCGGCCACTGCTTCTTGGTACGCCGCCGCGCCCCGGAATCTGCTAGTTGAAAACGTCTTTTTTGCATGCCTTGACGTTTGTCGTTTGTTTGTTTGCTCAGCTGGTCCTGCTGGGGAAGCTCCTGACGGTCGCGTGCAACCGCTACAGCGCGTTGCCAGCGTGGTTGGCGCAGCAGAGCGGTCTGTGGAGTCACGTGGTCAGCACGTTTCACAAGCAGGCACAGTACGAATCACACCATCCATCACCTCCGTCGAATTCGCTTGTCGATTCCTTCTGTCCCACGTGCGAAGGACATAATCGTTTTCCAGAATCATGGAAGCACGACGAGATATAGGTACAGAGTTCGATATGAACCCCACGCTACCATGCCTGATACTATTCCTCCTGCTCTCTTCTACTCCGTTCGGTGTTGCAGGGACAGCATTCGTGCAGAGAGCCTGTTCGTCCTGCACAAGCTCTGCAGCCTGCCAGGTGGCATGCAGCTATTGGAGGAGAAGCTGCCCGGCATGGTGTGTGCGGGCATCGCCCTGCTGCTCTCCACAGACAGCAATGACGTCTCAGCCAACTGCGTCGCCCTCCTCACCGCCCTCTCCGCTCCCTCCCACCCTGCCTTCACGCTCGCCTGGCTCGCGCGTCTAGACCACCCAGAAGCGCAGCAGGCGGGAGGTGCTGCCATGCGCGGGCTTGGATCGCAGGGCTGCGTGGCTGTGGGATCTCAGAACCCCCGTGCGAGCCACGCCATGCACACGCAGGGCAAGGCCCCCCTGGGCCTGCGCATGATGCTGTGCGAGGGGCTCAAGAAGACTCTGCTCGCGGCTGACTCCGCCCTGCAGCTCGCAGCCCTGCACCTCATCTCCCAACTCGCTCTCTCCTGTGCGCCCTCTCATGATGGCCCTGCCTCAGACGGACGGTCCAGATTCGACTGGGTTGCGAAGGAGACATGGGAGGAGGACTGGTGTAAGCAGGACGGTGTGCAGGGGGGCGATGGTGGGGGGATGGTGGATGAGCGTGGAGCAGCGGCGCTACAGGCGATGCTGGATGAGGGACTGGCAGAGCACGTGTTTGAGCTGCTCCGGTCCGCAGATAGTGGTGAGCAGCACTCTTGCCTTCCTCGCCCAACCAGTCACTGCCACTGTTACTGCCTGCTGATAACATACTCCAATGTGCCGCACTTTGTTTGCTTGCATCCCCACACCCGTCGCCCTGGTCATCCGCTGACACCCATCGTACTCTCACTCCCGTGCTCTGCGCTCGTGCATCGCAGGTCTAGTAGCAGACCCGTTGGTGCCGGCCGCCCTCTCATGCCTGCTGCACCTCGCAGCATCGCCTGGAGCTGCAGGGCAGGCGTTTGCACGGCGCTTTGTGTTTGGCTTTGACACGCTCTCATCGCTGCTGCACAACGCCATAGAGGCCAACGATTTCCACCTGCAGGCGCTCTCCATCTCCGTCTTCCTGCACGCCCTGCGCTCTGCGCGCGCCACCCCTAGGGATGCCAGTCAATTCCCTCCAGCAAGACTGCACGCGCTGGCGTCTGCTCTCGCAGAGGTGGTGCGGCGGTTCTGCGTGGATGCACGGGAGAGGAAGCGGTGGATGCTGGACCAGAACGAAGCCTTCTCCACCGCTTGCTTCGCCCTTGCTGTGCTCGCCTCGTGGCAGAGCATCGTAGGCGCAGAGAACATGCAGCTGCTGCGGTTGCTGGAGCAGTGTGTGGGTGATGGGGCGTCTATTCTGCCAGCCCTTCAGGACGTGCCCAGCACGGGTGGGTCACTCACAGGCACGGGCGCCAAACTCCAAGGGGCAGCTTCGGCAGCCGTCACTGCAGCTGCATCTGGCTCTGCAGGTGGGATGGATGAGGTGGCCCTGGCTGTTCTCACTTTCCTGCACGCCTGTGCTCAGCGCTTCCTGCACGCCCAGGCGAACTCAGTCAACTCAATGGCTCCTGCTGCCGCCACACCTGCTGCTGCTGCTCTGGCGTCGTCCCAGCAGGACGCGGGGCTGTTGGCGATGGTGGGGGGGTCGCAGGGCGCTCCAATGTTCCACAGCAGCCAGCAGGAGGGCGGGGGGAGGGGCTCAGCAAGCCTTGGTAGGACTCGCGGGGCGTACATGCGAGGGGCGACCGATAAGAATCAAGAGTGGGGTGCAAAGGCGCCCTCTCACACTTCCACAGCCCTGACGTGCTGCCTTGACGACATAGCCGCTGCTCTCATGGCTGCTGCCGACATGCACGTTGCTCCCTTCATGTTCTCCCTGCACCCACAGCCGCAGCCCCCGCCTGGGCACATGCACGCGCCCCATTCAGCAGCACCAGCGCCTTTCTCCGACCCTGCTGCCATTCTCTCCCGCGCATACGACGTGCTCAGTCACGTGCTAGCGTGCCCACTGCCCGCCCTCGCACCCATCGCCCGTCAGTTCGCAGCCAAGCTCGCCTCCAGCTGGACCCTCTCCCTCGTCTTCTCCTCCCTGCACGCCTTCCACCCGCCCGCTGCCTCCTCCCGTGCAACCCCATCCTGGCTGCCCCAGTCAGTCGCTCCTCCCCAGGCTCCAGAGGGCAGCAAGTGGGACGTGCTGCGCAGGGCAAGCTTGCGCTTCGCCGTGCTGCTGTCTACCGTGGCAGCAACAGGCGAGGAGGGGCAAGCGGTGGTGCAGTGGGTGGTGGGCGTGGCGGGGCTGGAGCGCATGCCGTGGGCTGTCAGTGACATGGTGCTGCTGCTGGCAGAGGGCAGGGGGGAACCGGATGCTGGCAGGATGGCAAGAGATATGCAGTGGCGCTACCAGGGGGGCGAGAGCAGGGAGGGGGGTGCTGGTGAGGAGGAGGAGGTGCAGGCGGTGCAGTGGGTGGTGCTGCTGATTCTGTACGCTGCTGTGCAGTTCGACGACAGGTAAGCTGCCTCATTCACAAATCTCCGTTCTGACCACACACGTGCACACATTCAGGTCCTTCCACCACCGCACACTCACCCATTTCACCTCTCTGTTTCTCCGCCCCTGTGCCTCTCCTACACCCATGGCATGTGTGCCTGTCCTGTGCGGAGCAGGCTGGTGGACTATGAGGACATGTTTGGCGCGCTGCAGAGCTTGGTGCTCTCCAACCGCATCCCACCACTCGGATCGCCACTCCTCCCCCTCCCCTCCCTCGCACCTTCCCCCCACAACCACCCCTCAGACGCCCACTCGCCCCCACCCGCCACCACCGCGCGCTCCTCCTTCTTCCTGCTCGTCTTCCTCTCGCTGCACGCGCTGCTGCGCCCCTGCTGCTCCACTGTGTCCTATGACGCACAGCACCGCCTCCTCTGCTTCCTGCACCGCCACGCTGCAGCGCTCTCCTTCCCCCTCACCGCCTGGCACCTGGCTCTACCGCACTGGATCCTGTTACAGGACGGTTTGGAGGAGCTGAGCCACAGCCTGGTCCACTCCTGGCTCTGCGCTGCTGCTGCCTCCCTGCCGCCTCCCTCTGCCTCAGGCCCCTCCCCCGGGACCAGCAATGCAGCAGTAGCTTCAGGGAGCCGCGGTGGCAGTTTAAGGAGTGTAGGTGAGAGTACAGGCGCTGGTGCTGCGCATGGTGAGACGCCAGAGCTAGATGCTCTCGGTAGCTTGCTCAGCCATGGCAGTGAGAGCAGCAATGCGAGCAGCCATGGAGTGGATGAGATGAGTGGCGACAAGGAAGAGGCAGGGAGGCGGTGTGCAAGAGTGGTGGCGGGGGTGGTGAGGGAGATGTGGCGGGCGAGGGGGGAGTGGCAGCAGCTGGCGCAGGTGACAGAGGCACTGGCGATCCTGGTGGACAGGCATCCGCACTTGAGTGCCCCACTGGAGCAAGGGGCGCTCTCATCCACGGTACGCCAGTGGCACCCGTTCTCCCTGTGCCTCAACAGCTGCTACCCTGGAGAGTTGTGCCTTGTCATTTCTCGTGATTCGTTCTTCTTGTGTTTCCTACAACACCATAGCCAAATGCCTCCCCTCTCTTCTGCTACCACAGACCCTTCTTGCTTCCTCCCTCCGTTTCTTGCCTCCCTTCACCCCCCTCCTCCCCCCTGTGCGTGCACCACCAGTACATAGAGGCCATGCTGCTGAGCGGCTCTAACCTACCGCCGCCTCTGCTGCTCGCCACCCTGCACCTGCTGGCGCGCCTGCTCTCCCACCTGCCCCCCAAGCCCCCTGTGCCTCCGCGCATGGGGGGGCGGTTGCAGTCACCGCCACAGCAGGCAACAGCGTGGGAACGCTTGGCACAGCAGGTGAGAGGAGATCTTGCTGTTTCACGTATGCGCCACCTTGTGCCCCATTTTTCTTATGAGGCACTTTGTCCTTGTGATTAAACTCTGTACTTGCATGCCTCCCATGGCGCCAATGCATCCCTCTCAGATCCTGATTGTGGTTGAGCCACTGTTGGAGTCTACTGCTGTCAGCAGCACTGTGGGCGCTGCTCCTCCCACTCTCTCACAACAGCAGCCGCAGCAGCAGCATTATAGCCAGGCATACAGGCAGGCACAAGTGCAGTGTGGTGATGGTGGCGCAGGGAGCGAGCAGGAAGAGGAGCGTGGCGAGAAGGAGCAGATGCTGGTGGGTGCGTTGAGTGTGATCAACGCCCTGCTGTGGCGCGCAACCACACTCTACACACCCAGTGGCGCTGATTTGTGCAGCCAACCCAACGAAATTAATGGAGCAAGATCAGGCAGCAGTCGTGCAGTGAGTGACGCACGGCTGATGGCAGTGGTGGAGGCAAACGAGGACGTGGTGAATGCGGCTGGCACCATCATGATGAGCTCGGCTCTTGTGGCCTTCACCGAGGGGTGCGTGCGTGCTGCTGCATGTGCCATCTGTGGGACCACTGGTGACTCCGAGGACACGCCAGCGGTGGCTGGTGGGGGGACGCAAGGGGGGGGATGTGGTGTGGGTGTGGTGCAGGCGCGAGGGAGTGAGGGAGCGTGGAAAGGCTATTCCAGCCGTGTGCTGCTCTCCTGCCTTACCTTCTTCAACCTGCGTGTTTCATGGTACGTGCGCCCCCGTCGCCCCCGTTACCACTGATGATGCATGCACCCAGCCATCTGTTCTAATTTCACAGCACTGACAATCATGCCCTCTCTGCTGCCTGCACCAACTGCCTGTCCTCCCGCCACAGGGTGCATGCACTGGAGGCTGCATCCATTCTCCCCTCGGGCATTCCACCTCTCAATCTCTCGCTGCGATTCTCACCTCCATCACCGCAACCAACAGCAGCACCAGCAGCCCTCCCAGCAGCAGCAGCTGAAAGCGCCACTATGGTTCCAGCCACAGTGTGTGCCAGTCAGGGCGACACAGCAGCCCCCATGAGGCAGGCGCAGCAGCAGGAGCGCACAACCGCGCCATGCTTGGCATCCGCTTGCGACCTGGCTGCCATTCTGCTCGCAGCAGCTGCAGGCCAGCTGCCTGCCACTGTGGCCGCACACAGCAGAGAGCAGGCAGTGGGAGGAGCAGCACGGCAAGGCTGTGCCCCTGGGAACAGCAGTGGTTGCGTCAAGGCCGATGGGGATGAGAGGAAGGGAGTGGAGAGTAGGTCATGGGCAGGGAGGGCGGGTGGCAGATGCGGGCACGCCAGCATGCAAGACGCGTTTGTGGCTGCTGATCTTGCCTCGTGCACCCTGCTCTCCTGCCTCTCCTCTCTCGCCCTCCCTGCAAATGCATCCCCAGCACATCGCCCTGCAGTACCCTTGGACCAAGGCGGCTCTGTTCCTTTTGCCCGGCCTGCCGTACCACCGCTGCTGCCTGCACCAGTGAACACCCCAGGTGAAAGCAACCTACGCTTGTCACAGCAGGAGCAGCAGGAGCGCCAGTACGACCTACCATCCTCTCAGCCCTCCCCATTGACCCCTCCCACTCCTGCTCCCCCCGCTATGCTCCCTTCCCTCCCTGCTGCTGTCTTCTGGCCTATCGCTGCTGCGCTGCAGCATGCTGCCTCGTGCCCCCACCCCACTGTGCGGCGCAACACGTGCCTCGCCCTCTCCCTGCTGCTGCGCTGCTTTGATCCAACCTCCGTTGCTCTCCCCCTGGCAGCCAGCCCCTGGACTCGCCTGCTGCTAGACGATGCCCTTGCCTCTATCACCGCAGCTGCTGCCGCCACTGCTGGACCCGCAGCAGCCGCTGCTGCACCAGATACAGCAGCGGTGCGAGCAGGTGAGAGCAGGCCTGCTGGGGAAGCAGCACAAGCCCAGTCGTCCTCCTCGTGCCCCTCGCCCACCCTGCTGGACCTCCTGCTCTCGCACAGCCTAGAAGCCCTCCACATCGCTGCCTCCTGCTTTCACCTCGCCCCACCCACCACCCCCCCTCGATGGCTCTCCCAAATCTTCCAACCTGCCCGGGTCTCTGCTCTCGTGGGCTCGCTCTGGCGAACCCGCCAGCTGTCTCTGCCCGCCATCGCCACGTGTCACAGGCTCATTGGTGCAGGCCTGCTACCTCGCTCTGTTCTACCCCAGCTTCTGGACCTCGTTCAGGTATGGGAGAGAGAGAAAGAGTGGGGGATGAAGGGGCGTGGGGGATGCAGGGGCGTGGGGGATGAAGGGGCGAGGGGATTGCAAGGGCCTGCGTTGTCTGTCTCAGCTCGTGCACACTCGCTCCACGCATACTGCCCATCCATGCACCACACTGACAGCTTCCTCCCCAACACACTCTCCCTGCAGGCACATGCCCGGCCACAGCCACAGCAGAGCACCGGCAGCAACACCTGCTCGTCCACACTTACTGCCCGTCCTGTGTGGCTGGCGGGTTGCCTTGTGCTCTGCAACCTCTCCATCCCAGCCGCTCTCTCCAATCCTTGTCTCGTAGACCCCTCGCTCCCCGCCACCATGTCACAGCAGTGCGCTGCGTTCCTTGCCCTGCACGCCAAGCTGCCTCGCTGCACGCAGTAGCCCGTGCTGCACTGCCTGGCTTGCCCTGCACCACTGTGGGACATGGAAACGTGATACAGGCATTGAGGAGCATTCAATGCGAGTGGCTTAAGTACAGCTGATGCTGCCATATCACCCGCCACCCGTTTGCCACGGGTGCTTTTCCTCGCGTGTGGTCGTGTTCGGAAATCTCATTGCTTTGCCAATGCCCCTTCGATTGAACCCCCACCAGAAGTTCGCCCACAATCAGCCAAGAACGAGGGCTCTTGGATATCCCCAGAGTAGCTCACTGTCCCCTTTGACCTCCATGAGGATAGGTAGGTGTCAGAATGAGAAAATGGATGATGCATTGTTGTTGGTTGGGGTACATATAGCTAACCCTAAGTTTTGTACCCCCTAAGACAAACCTCACTATAGGCTACAACATTTGACACACCCCCATAGCCTAAGTGAGGGGTGTCTAGCAGAACCAAACGAGTACGGTCACAAGACCAGTCCAAGAAACGAAGCTCAGGATGGATCACAACGTCACCACACAGTCTGAGCACAAACAACAGTGGCCACAAGGCCAGTCCAAGAAGTAACAGAGATATATAGAAAGCAAAGTAAACAGTACACTCAAGTCTAAGCAACACGAGAACCAGTGTCAACAAGGCCTAACTGCACACAGCACCTCTGGTGGTCACAAGGCGGAAGCGCCTTGGTGAAGATGTCTGCAGTGTTGGCCTCGGACTCCACAAACTCAAAGCGAGCCTGTCCACGCCTCTGCAACTCTCGCAGAAGAAAGTACCTGACGTGAATGTGCTTCACTCTGCTCTCCAGTCGTGGCTCTCGACAAAGGAGAATAGACGCCTTGTTGTCAGTGAACAAGGTCGGTGCAGAGCTCGGCCGCTCACCAAGGTCGGTGAGCAAGAAGGTCAACCAACGCAGCTCCTGTGCCGCCATGGCACCAGCGTAGATCTCAGCCTCAGCTGTAGAGGTCGAGACCGAAGAGGAGCGCGTGGACCGCCAGGAAACAGCTCCAGAACCCAGGCTGAAACAGTACCCCTGAGTAGACCTGTGAGTCTCAGCGTCGTCAGCGTAAGAGGAGTCACAGTGACCAGTAAGTACGACAGACTGCTGCCCTCCAAGAACTAGCCCCACGCCTGATGTCGTCGCTAGGTACTTCGCCACCCTCACAGCTGCTGTCCAGTGAACAGGACGGTGTCTCCCTGACGCAACAAAGCGCGCAAGAACGCTGAGAGGGAAGGCGAGGTCCGGGCGAGTACAAGTCATCAGGTACATGAGGCAACCCACAAGCTCTGCGTAGGGACCACTAGGCTCGAACGGCTCGTCAGGAAAGGGTCCAGTGAGTCTGTGGTCAACAGCAAGAGGTGTGCGCTGTACTGTGGAGTGCTGAAGCCCGAACCGCTGAAGGACCTGCTGCACCATGTGTGACTGTGAAAGTGTAATGGTGCGAGCAGCTCTGTCCCTGGTGATCTGCAGGCCAAGGTAGTGGCGCAGCTCACCAAGATCAGTGCAGGTGTGTCTCTTCTGCAGTTCAGACTTCACGTGTGCCAAAGCAACCCTGTCAGGGGTGGCGAAAACAAGGTCGTCAACGTAGACCAGAACAAAGAAAGGTGTGGGGCCACGACGAACGAACAGCGACGGGTCAGCAGAAGACGGCTGGAACCCAAGGTCAGACAGGGTAGAACGCAGGGTGTCGTGCCACTCACGAGGAGCCTGACGAAGACCGTAAACCGGTCGCCTCAGCCTCCACTGGGTCCCAGGAGGGAAAGAGCCAGTGAAGGCAGAGGGACGACGCAACCAGACCTCCTCGTGAAGACTGCCCTGAAGGAAAGCAGTAGAGAAGTCGAGGGAGTGTAACTCGTAGTCTCTCTGTGCTGCTACGTGTAGTAACACCCGAAGAGTGGTCATCTTCGGGGTGGGCGCGAAGGTCTGAAAGAAGTCAACTCCCTCGCGCTGACTGAAGCCTCTAGCCACGTAGCGCGCCTTGAAGACCGGAGGAGATCCCGGTGGCCGCTTCACCCTGTAGATCCACATGCCGTCGACTACGTTCGTCCCAGGGGGAGGAACCTCATCGACGTAGGTGCCTGTGGATCTGTAGGAGGCCATCTCTGCGTCCATGGCAGCTCTCCACTGAGAGGCCCAAGGCCCTGACACTGCCTCAGCGTAAGTGCGAGGAGTCGGAATGTCAAGGGCGTCGGGGTCACCCTCAGGGGCGAGGAGCATGGCACAGAGATGAGGGGAAGCGGCCGCCAGGAACTCTAGCTCAAACTGCCTGTCCTCTAGGGCGTCACAGCCAAGGGCAGACACACCCCCGACGGCCAGAGGACTGGAAGGAGGAGCAGCCACAAGAGCGGTGGCGAAGTCAAGGCGGCGGGTAGAGGCAAACTCAGTGACTGCGGCAGTAAGAGCAGACACAGAGGACACAGAGGCACGAGGGTGGGTAACAAGAGAGGCGAGAACACGAGAGAGAACAGGACGGTACGTGCGGTAGTAGTCAGTGACAGGAGAAGGAAGCGACACAGTGAGGGCCGACTCAGGAGGAGACGGAAGCACAGACGGAGACGGACGAGGTGGACGAGAACAAAGGAAGGCTGTACGAAGGTCAGTGAAGGGAACAGGAGACGAGGGACGAGCACGAGGGGAGCGACGAGAGGCCCAAGTCTGAGAAGGAGGAGGAGACAACGAAGACTGAGAACGAGGGAAAACAGCGGGAGAGGGGTCAGGAGGAGGAAGCGGAGGACCAGAGACAGGAGGAGAGGGGGAGGAGGAAGGAGAGGGAGAGGGGAGACCAAGGGTCCGAAGACCCGAGACAGGAGGAGGAGACGGCAGCAGCTGCTGCTGCTGCTGCTGCTGCGGCTGCTGCTGCTCCAGCGGCTGCTGCCCCTGCTGCTGCTCCTGCTGCTGCTCCTGCTGCTGTCGCTCCTGCTCCTCGAGCCGCTGCAACTCTCTCTCCTCTCTCTCCAACTCCAGCTGCTCCTCACGAGCACGGCGAACACGAGCCTGGAACCTGGTCGGATAGGGGTGGGGGGAAGGAGTAGTGTCCGGGGCAGCGGCAGCCCCAGAGTCGACCTCCGAAGCACCAAGCACACCACCCCCAGAGGCAGCACTAACACCAGCTCCAGACCCAGGCTCTCCAGAAACCGAAGGGACACCCTCACCCCCAGACGCAGCACCCCCAGACTCCGCACCAGCACCCCCAGACTCCGCACGACCAGTACCAGCCCCCGGAAGACAAGAGTCCTCTGCAACCCGCGGCTCAGCTCCAACTCCAGCACCCCCAGAACCAGAGACCTGTACAGGGACAGTCGCAGGACCAACCTCCCGAGAGGGAGCACCTGCAGGAGGCGGCGAGGAAGACTGTGGGGAGGGAGGCTGTACAGGGGGGGCTACCGAAGGGGGAGGGCTAGCCTGAGACACACCAGACGGGGCTGGACCAGGGGGGGGAGGCTGTACCGGGGGAGCAGGCGGGGGAGCGGCGGTCAGGAAGAGAGGGGGGGGAGGGACCGGGAGACCTCGACTGGGGTACCTGACGTAGTAGGGGGTGGACTCCTCGAAACGGACGTCACGGGAGTCAAAGAACCGGTGAGAGGGAGGGTGGTAAAAGGTGAAGTCAGAGGAGTCCTCAGGGAAACCAAGGAAGACACAAGGAACGGCGCGAGGCGAGAGCTTGTCCGCGGAGGTGTCGCGGACAAGAGCCAAGCACCCCCAGACACGAAACCTCGACGCGACACCAGGGGACCCTGTCCAAAGACTGGTCGGTGAAGCCTCCGGCCGAGAGACGCGTGGCCAGAGGTTCAGCTGGTGCGCGGCGTACCTGACCGCGTATGGCCACAGGAAATGGGGGGCACGGGCGTGAGTCAAGGAGGTGCGGGCAATCTCCATGACCAGGCCTATGCGACGCTCAGCAACCCCATTCTGCTGTGGGGACTCCGGAAGCGTCCAGGACTGACGAATGCCCTGTTCGCGACAGAATCCAGCGAGAATGCCGGAGCGAAACTCGCCCCCGCGGTCGGAGTGGAGACAGCTGACACGACGACCACGAGTGTCCTGGGTGGTAAGCAACCACCTGATCAGCGTAGAAGTCACCTCAGACTTCCTCGCCAGGGGGAACACTGTGGTGTAGCGGGAGTAGTCGTCAACGACCACCAAAAAGAAACGCTCACGCTCAGGGCCAGGGCGAGGAGAGGGGCCCCAGACGTCCAAGTGCAGCGTCTCAAAAGGCTCGGTGGCCGGACGAAGGAAGGAGGAGTGAGGGGTGGCGCGCAGCCTACCCTCGACGCAAGGACCGCACGGTGGTGCAAGGGACGGCGGCAGCGACGGCAAGACACGCGGGAGACCTAAGACAAGACGCTGACGAGACATAGCGCGAAGACGAGGAGGAGAAGGGTGCCCCAGCCGGTGGTGCCACAAAACGGTGGGGTGGGCAAGCGACCGACAGGAGCACGACGCAGCGACCGGACTAGACGGAGGAACCTGACAAGACACAGCTACCTGGGGGGACGGAGCAACCTGGTGAGACGCGAGGACTCGAACGGGGGGCAAAACAGGGGCCGGGGGCAGGAGGGGCGGCTGTGTCTCGACGAACCTGGTGAGCAACGCTGTCATCCAGGATCAGTGGGTTGACACCTTTACCCCTGGAGGACAGCGTGTGGCGATCTGCACGTGCTCCAGGACCGGCCGTCACCTGGCTACGTTTACCCGTCGGCCGGGGTCGAGTCTCTACACACTGACCACTGCGTCTCCTCAGGTCGCTGCTGTCGGTCAGGTGTCCGCGTCAGGTCTGGTGGCCCACGCCTGTGAGTGTCGTTCCCTGTCGCACCAGACTCTTCTCTGGCACCACCGCCTGGGTCACCCCTCCTTGCCACGCCTCCGTGGCATGCACCGTCGCCGCCTTGTGTCTGGTCTTCCCAGGTCCCTCCCTCCCCTCCCTGCCTCGCCTGCGCCGCCTTGCCTTCCTTGCGTCGAGGGGCGGCAGCGCGCCGCTCCTCACTCCTCCTCGTTCCCCCCGACAG